GCTAGTAGTAACAGGTGCCTTACTACTAGTAACAAGAAGCTACTAGTTAGTGTTTTCTCCCGCCATCGTCCTCAAGGCTCTTGGTGGAGCTGCAGCAAGGCCACTAGCGCGTCCATGGGCTTGGGGGATTGGTCGTGGTCGGGTGATTGGTTTGGTGGTCGGTGGTTATGTGTGAACTTTCAAAGACCTTACTTTTTGTTCAACATGCATGGAAGCCTGCGAAGTGATCGGATAGAGTACGTCCTCTTCGAACCAACAAGATTCAGTCAGTTCCTATGCTAGTACTTGTTGAGCTGCTAGGAAAGCCGAAGGCGAAATGGATTGGGTGTGGGTGCTCCTGGAAGGTTTCTTTGTGGCCCTTTTTCTTTGGATACAATTCCTCAGGGCTGCCCTGAGCCCTTCAGTTGTAAGAAATCCCATCCTTCTTCTTACATTGCTGTGATCGGTATTGATATTGAAATCAAGTAGCTATGTCATCGCCCCGTGGCTTGGTCGCGCACCCACCTTCAGCCTCGCTCCTCTGCAAATGCCGGCGCTGCTGCCGTCCAACGCGTCACATTGCACAACTCGTCGCTAGCTTTCCTCTGTGCCTCCGATCTCACGATCACAAGCCGACATACAAGAAGAGCAACTTGGAGACGTCAAGACATATTCTACTTGTAGCAACTACAGGTGAAACGATTTGTAAAGGAAGCTTCTAGTTACCAGAAAGCTTCAAAGACATACTTGAAAGCTTTATTGTTACTATATAATTCCGGAGAGGCCTTTCTTCATGGAACATCGCCGCCAGCGTCTAGCTGGCTTAACTCTGCTTCGGGGAGCGCCAGAATACGAGGGCGAGACAGCCGGTTTCCACAGGGTGTCCACAGGATGACCTGCTTGGCGAAGCTTCTTCTCACCTGTGCATGCAGACAGTGCTTCCCAAAGGCCCGAGAAAAACACACCAATTCGTGGTCTTAGACAACCTGCTTCTATGCTCCCACAGCCCAGATGCAAGGTTTTGGAGCCTGGCCCCAAAAATGCCTTCAAGGCATGTCAGGAGGCAAACGCCCTTCTGACACATGCAGCGGGTGTGTTCCCAACCTTCAGCGAAAGGCACAGATCGTTTCCGTCACGCAGCGGAGGTGAACCCGCAGACCGGCGCGCCGGTCCCTCGCACACCGTGTTCGCAGACGGTGTGAGCCTTCGCCGTCGCTCGGGAAGGCTCCAGCACGATCTCCTCGAACAGTGCCACGGGCGCCGGTTTCGTCTCGGAGCTCCAAGCAGGTGGGGCATGGGGCGCATGGGGCACGGAGGGTGGGTAAAAGAAACAGAAAGACAGGAAATTTGTGGGTGATGAGGATGATGAGGTAGGAAGTGAATGACTTCAAATTTTGTTTTAACATTAGGATGAAGTAAGATGAAGATGGATCAAGTATGTTGAAGTATGTTGTGTCTCGTTTCAACAAGGTTTGCTTCGGTTTTTGGTGGAGGTTCATGTCTAGAGCATGTATCTCAAGCATGTTGGACAGGTATCTCAAGCATGTTCAAACCGTCCGTTATCAAAGTCGAAAGGTGCGCACCCACCATATGGGGCCCTCGGGGGTTCTCCATGGTTTTTGTTTCAGTGGGTTAAGGCTGGATGGCTTGAGGATCGTTGTAAGTGTGTTTTGTGGGGGGTCAGGTCGTTTGAGAGCTCGAGTCTGTCAATTATGGTTCCCAATGGTGTCGGTTCTGTTTTTGGAAGGTCAACTTGCAGATGGGCCACGAAGTGTCCCGACCTGTGAGCATGTCGGTGAGTCTTTTCCACCTGATGTCCAGCGACCGACTTGCGGGATTCAGCCTGAATATTCAGGGGCCAAAGACCGGGAAGGAAGTGCCAAGACCCGCTTTTTTTGCAGGAATGTCCAGTTTTGACTCGTCCGTTGTCGACGGAGCGGAGTTGCTTCATGTGGTTCACACGTTTTCTGCTGCTACAGCCACCACCGAACTCGGAGTGTGCTACTCCGTGGTGAGCGGAGTTCGGTGGCGCCGACGTCTCAAGGCATCTATCAGATGGTCTTCCGCAGTACCGACCAGGCTGGGAGAGGATGGGTGGGAATCACTTGGGAGGTGGTAAATGGCTTCCCACAGGATTCACAAAGACAACTAAACACCAACCACTTAGATTTCTGGATCCGTCCAACTCGACTGGGCTTCAGTGGCTGTCTGACAAGCCATGCCCTTCCCGTCGAATACTTGGCTGACCAAGGCAGCTGCTGATGCGATCCCCTTCTTCGTGACCTGGGGTCTTGCTCGCTCCGGCGCTGGAAACGTGCTTGGCAACGCGGTGTGCGATGGTGTGGCAAGGACGGTTTTGCTGGTGCCGGTGTTTAAGTATTGAGGTAGTTAAGACAATTGACCCCACGCAAGATAGCTGTACATCTCATTTTGCAGCCTTTACTCCTTGAGCCGCAACAAAGCGCGGTGTTTCTCTTCTTTTGCTGCTGCTGCTGACGAACTCCTGCGGTTGGGATCGGTCGCGCCGTCGGATGTAACTCCAGGATGATGGACCTTGGGGCCGACAGCAAGTCCGGTGGATCCAGCTGGCAGTGGAAGCGGCAACTGCACCTCGGGCACAGCACAGGGCTGCGGGGGCCGCACCGAAAGCAGCCACCACGTGTCAATGAAGGCCCCTCCTTCTTCAGGTTTTGTTGACTTTTCTTGAGTCCTGTCGCTGTTCCTTCCTTTCTTTGTTCCTTTTCTGTCAACTTCAGACCTGTAAACCGTGTTGAAACGATTTTTGTGTTGTGTTCTCTCACTCGTTCTTGTTCCTTGTGTCGCCTTTACGCATCGTTTTGTTCCCTTTCGTCATGTCATGTTTCTTTCCTTTTGGGCCCCTCAAGCTATTTGTCTATATTTCATTAAAAGATGTTGTAAAGGTTCTTGTAGTCTTCCATGTGTTTTTGTTTTGTAGCTATTTGTGCTTCTTCAGGTTTGCAAACAGATATGCAACGCTAATTAGACATCCAGACAGTAGCACAACAGACACAAAAGCAATCCTTTTGTCCCAAGAAGTTGCTGTTTTCACTCCTCCCATCCCGACCCTTTTCCCCCCGGTGGGACACCGGCCACCGGCCACGGCTCGCCCCTTCGCTCGCCTCGAGGAACCTCCGAGCGCTGCCCAGTTCGCTGAAGTTGCCCTTGCTCGTGCCACGGCCATCGGTGGCACCTCGGTCGACCGCGTCGGTGCGTCGGTGGGGTCGGACCGAAACGAGAAGATCTCGGCGTTGAACGTGTGTTGCTCCACTGATTTGGTGCGAAAAGGTGGGTTGTTGCTCCTCTGATTGGTTCAGCCTTGAGCTTCTGACGGGAGTGCTGGTTTTGGTTGCTGGGCCTGCTAGTCCAAAGTCGGGTGCTGGGCGCTTCGTCGATTCGTCTCCTGGTTTTCTCAGCCCGGTGGGTCTCCATCGGCCTCATGGGACCTTCCTCCGGCGAACGAGCTGCCCTTGGACTTGATGTGAATAGATCGTTCGTCGACCCAGGCGAGACTTCGGGGCAAGGATTTCGGGGGTCTCCCGGCATTGAAGTATTGTCACCCTGTGGTGTCACTGCTATAGTTCTCCACCTGGATTCATCCGCCTGATACGCTTCTCCATGAAAAGTGTTGAGACGCTTCCTTGGATTCCTTTTGGCACTCTCGGCCAAATACACGGGCAACAGAATCCAGACAGTGTTGTGGAAAAATTCATTTGGAGACTAAAAGTCATGGGCCCAACTGGCACGTCTCGTTGTTATCAGATGAACCAACGGACCAAACAGCTGAGACAGCTGATGCAGCAATTGGGTAAGGCTCGTGGTCAAGCTTTACATCTCAGTACCCTGCTCAGTCCTTGGTAGCGTATTCTGTCCAGCCCTTGGTTGCTGCAGCGCTTGTGGCTCAAGCGAACCCAAATTTGGGTGCGAGAGCTGGGTTTGAATCCGTTTTGAGACACAAACAAAAAAGGACCGGAAAAGAATCCTTTGGTAGGAAAAGAACACCCTGGTAAATCATGCTTGCTCAACAGGAAACTGGGTGATGACTGCTGGTTACCTCATGACTTCGGACTGTGGGTGTCGCATGTTTGTTCACATGTTTGTTTCACATATCATAGCGACACTCACTTCATATCTCTGGGAATGTCGATTAGACTGCTGTTTAGATTGATGATGGACATAAGTGCAAGCCTCCACCTCCCTATTCTTGGTATTTCTTGGTGACTTCAGGACTGCAAGCTCGCGCGAGCGACAGATTCCTAGGAAAGAAGTCTGAAACCTTGAACCTCCAGGACCTAAACCTCGTAGTCAGCAAAACAACAAATCGACCAAGTCCTCTGACAGTGCCGCCGTCTCGAAATCCGTCCCATCCCAACTGGGTGCCATGGGGGACGAGCTGAGTGATGATGAGCTCCTGGAGATTCAGGTGCATCTCCGGCTGAGAGATGGACTGTTCCTTCTTGCTTAAACCTGAATAAAAGACCACACAATCAGCTCCCAAATCAGTTCCCGAGACTCTGGAAAAAGCTTGAAAAAGTCCACCCACCTCTTCGTCTTCTTTCCGGAGGATTTGTTGGGAGAGTCCCTCATCCGTTCCACCGGAGGTGCTGGGCTTGGCGGGTGAAGGCTTGACGCTCTCGGTGCCTGCATCTCTCACGGGCGCGCAGCTCCGGCAGCGGGTCCGACAGCGGCTGCCCAGCAAGGCCGGCGCCCGGGTGAGCCTGCAGACCGGCGCACGGATGCTCTGCGCGAAGACGACGCTCCGGGAACAAGGCGGCAAAGCGATGGAAGAGGGGCTTGAAGCTGGTGTTCTTGTTGTTCTTTTGGGGGGATGTGGACACCTGAATTTGGAGGTGCTGATCTCTATTGAAAGGTTTGCATGGCTTTAGGTTGTCAGATCCATCTAGGTGTGTCAAAGGGTTGAATGTCTTACATGTTGTGAAGTTGATACGTTACGTGAAGCATAGAGTAAAGGTGTCTCTTCACTTGAAGGTGGAAGAAAACCTTTGGACACAGACAAGTCTGGCAGGTGTTCGCATTTCCTTTGTTGGACTTGTTTCTTTGGTGATGTCGGAACATGCGACAAAAGCCTTCTTCCACCGAGCCAGTGACTGTCAGCTTTGGACCAGTTCGCTTGGATCAGCTGGGCGACATCCTGGTGGACGAAGCACCAAAAGGAAAACCATCCATTTTCGGATCCCCTTTCGGTTTGACCATGTTTGACCCCCCTTTCCACCTTTATGGGTGAACCCCGAGCACCGGGTTTCACTCTTCCAGCGTTGGAACCGTTGGAAGCTCGGAGAGGTCTCGTGGAGGCTCCCTGTGTGAGCTACACCTACGAGCCTGCAAGCTTGCAGGATGCCTGGCGATCTCTGGCAGGTGCCGGAGCTGAGGAGCAGATGGGTTTGGATGGAATCACACAAGTGGAAGGGATCTACTCTCTGGAACAGCTGAAAGATGCTGATACCCTGCGCAGTCTGGAGTTTCACTACTGCTTCAATCAAGAATTAGATTCACTTCGATGGCCTCGCGATCTCCAAAGTCTGACCTTTACCGGCGAGTTCAATCAACCTTTGGACGGAGTCACCTTGCCAAAGGGTCTGCAAAGTTTGACCTTTGGCCATAACTTTGACCAACCTTTACAGGGAGTGACCTTGCCCGGTAGCCTGCTGAGTCTAACATTTGGCATGAACTTCAAACAGACTTTGGAAGGAGTGAGGCTGCCCCATCAGTTGCAGAGTCTAAAGCTTGGCAGTCGCTTTGATCGGAGTTTGGAGCGAGCAACTCTGCCCCAGAGTCTTCAGAGTTTGACCTTGGGAAACAGCTTCAACCAAAGCTTGGATCGAGTGACTTTGCCGCCACGCCTGACGAGCTTGGCCTTTGGCCATGACTTTAACCAACCCTTGGAACGAGTGTCCTGGCCAGAGAGCCTGCAGAGCTTGATACTCGGTTTCAACTTCAACAGGAGTTTGGACGAAGTAAACTTGCCTAACAGCCTGCAGAATCTTACATTTGGCTTTGAGTTCAACCAGAGTTTAGAACGAGTGGCGTTGCCTTGCAACTTGTGCAGCCTGACATTTGGCGTGAGTTTTAACCAGCCATTGGAGAGAGTGACTTTGCCGCAAAGCCTAAAGAGTCTAACGTTCGGTGCAAGCTTTGACCAGAGTTTGATTCAAGTGAGCTGGCCCTCCAGCTTTGAGTCATTGACACTTGGCCAGCATTTCAATGAGAGTCTAGACCAGCTGTCTTTGCCGAGCAGTCTTCAGAATTTGATGTTTGGCAACCGGTTCAATCAGAGTTTGGAGCGGGTGGCTTTGCCCGGTGGGCTTCTTCATCTTGCATTTGGTAATGAGTTCAACCAATCATTGGAAGGGATCAAATGGCCCAACTGCCTTGAAAGTCTGACATTTGGCAATCGCTTTAACAAAAGCTTGGAGCAAGCACCTCTGCCTAGCAGCCTCAAGAGTCTGGCCTTTGGCATTGAGTTTAATCAGAAGTTGGAACAAGTGTCCTGGCCAGAGAGCCTGCAGAGCCTGATATTTGGCTTCTATTTTGATAGGTGCATGGAGGAAGTAAACTTGCCTAACAGCCTGCAGAATCTTACATTTGGCTTTGAGTTCAACCAGAGTTTAGAACGAGTGGCGTTGCCTTGCAACTTGTGTAGCCTGACATTTGGCGTGAGTTTCAACCAGCCATTGGAGAGAGTGACTTTGCCGCGAAGCCTAAAGAGCATGGTGTTTGGAGAGAGATTTAACCAGTCTTTGGATCGAGTGATCTTGCCAAGCAGCCTGCAGAGCCTCACTTTTGGTGATCACTTCGACCAGGCTTTGCAGCATATGACTTGGCCAGTTTGCCTCCAGAGTTTGACCTTTGGCAGCAGTTTCAATCAAAGCTTAGAAGGAGTGACCTTGCCGATTGGTTTGCAGAGTCTCACCTTCGGTGATGGCTTTAACCAACCCTTGGAGGGAGTAAACTTACCCAATGGCCTGCAACGCTTGAGTCTCGTCGATGGATACAATCAGAGCCTGGAGGGGCTCATATGGCCTCAAAGCCTCAAGAGCTTGATCTACGACTCCTTGTTCTTGTCCATGCTCTAAGAGGAGCAGCGATGCGATGTTCGTGTGAACCACCCGCAGTTTTCAAGCGTCCGCAAAACAAGGTCGCAGGGTGAGAACACGACCTCTATGGCTCCCAGGAGGGGGGGATCAGGGTCCGATGTGTTTCTTCAATTCGAACCAACCAGGTCATGTGATTCGGGTCGTATGTTTGTTTGTCCTTCGAATCCGGAAATGGTGAGGACGACCGTCCTTCGGAGCCCCGCCGGACTGGAAGAAAAACCTAGGAAAGTCATCGCTCGACGATGCAGTATCGCACAGCGATATCATATCCAGAGTATCATAATCCGCTAAGCCACAATTGGGAGTGGGCGACGTCCTTTTCCAAGGCCACCATTGGGAGTTGGTCTTCCTTCGTGCACCACTACGCCACCTGGCGACGAAGTCCAAAAATATGCGACGAAGTCAAGGGTTGGATGTTTCGTTAGTTGGATCATTCAAGTCTTCTCTCATTCTGCTGGGGCTTAAGGAAGCCTCTTTGGCTTCCTTGGGAGGCGGTGGCCTCTCTTGAACACCTCTTGTTGGGCGGAACTTCACAGTGAAAATGAGCTGTTGAACGAACGGTTTGACTTTCGGGACTGGGAGAGTAGCTTGCAACTTTGTAGCACACTTTCATCTGGAGCTAGCTTGGAGAATGCCATTGTATCCATTCAGGATTGCTTGGATTTCCAAGCACTTCAAAACTGCTATGTTCTCTCCGTTGCGATGCACCTTGCTACGTTCGTAGCCTTCATCTTACTAGTAAGGCCAGCGATGCGCCCCGTTCGGTTCGCGTCCGATCGCTCCGTTCGATGTCGCGATGCCCTGACCGCTCCGTTCGTAGCGATGTCCGCCCCATGTTCCGCGACCGTCGACAAACGGGATCGGACTGAGACGCTCGACTCCCATCGACCACGACCCTCCGGACACACATCGCCATCCGGAGCCGATTCCAAGATCCCATTCTGGGAGGATTCGAAGCATGGCGTTGGAAGAGCCTTTACAGAACAATCATGGGTTTTACAGTACAAAACCAGGTCAAAGGGTCTTTTTCAGGCTAGGCAAATGCTTGGAGGATTCGATCGCCAGTGACTGCCAGCATCCCTACTTCGCGTAGACGACCAGACTGTGCACAGTCGCTTCTGGAGAAGCCGCTTTTGGTTCTTCCAACGACCAGCTAGTTTTGGTCACCAACGACCAGCTGGGTGTGAAAGTGTCCACCACCTGGAGTCCACGGTGCCACACGACATGTCGTCTTCGTTCGTTCGATCAACCGAGGTTCGTGTGGCGCTGGTCACCGAAGAGGGCTTGTGGGTGGGGGAACAGCGCGGCAGGCTCGGGGCGATGTGAGACCGACGGACGGTTGGACGCGGCTCAAACCGCCTGTTCCGAGCAAGACCGAATGAAGAAGCAAAAAGAGCATTGAGAGGCCTGTATTGAGCTGTTGAGATGATGTTGTGTCACTCATGAGGGTGGTGGATTCATTGTGGCAGGGGGCTATGTGTGGCATGTGGGGAGGCTACCAGGCTGCTGTGAGTCAAAGCCATGGGGCAAAAACCACTTAGAACATCCCAAAAAAAGAATGGGAAGTCAGGTCTTTTCTGGACAAACGTGGCCAGTGAGGCCTTCGAACACCGTTGCCGCCCCCCGCACCCGGTTGGCACACCTCCGTTCCGATGTCACAGACGTCGTGGAGCGGAGCCTGTCTCGAGGCGGAGCTCTTTGGAGATCGAGCTGCCTGCAGGGAATTACCAGATGATCCTCGAGGCGTGTGAAGATGGATTTGGGAAATTCCCTAGACCTTGACGATTTCACCCAGACGATTTCCCAACCGAAGGCTGGGTGTCCAGATTTTTCAACCCCCCCCCGTCCAGCCCTTCATTGGGGTTTCGTGGCGTGGCGTCTTTGTTTTTTTGGAGGTGAAGGGTGTCAAGCTGATCGTGAGGTGTGTTGGCCCATTCGTGCCTCCTGTTGGCCACGACCGGAGGAAATGATGCCCTTGTCACCGGCACCGGCGGGGTGTATGGCGATGGGTGTGGCGGCGACTTGGAGCGATGCTGGAAGGTTAGGGAGGAATGCAGTAAGAAAGGTTTGACTGGTGATTAGGAGCAAAAGGTAACTGCTAAATTAGTGATCTCTTTGGTGGGACTTGCATGTTCAATGTTCAGCATCTCAAAACTTGAGTATATCCCATGTTTTGCGAGGAATGAAACTTCTGAATTTGCTTCAATCCTGCACATCGTCACGTTTCACTTTTGGAGACCCTCCAACGGTTTCAACATAACAAGCCCCGAGACTTGCCCCAAGAAGAGCAAGCCGAAAACGCCTGACCGTGCTGAGGTCTCGCTGGTTCCCTTCTCCGTGATTGAGAGACCGGCCACCACTGGAGTGCCTTGGTAGATTTGGTAGTTCCATCCAAGGATGTGTTTTTGCTCCTATCCGCAGGGTTCCACCTACTGTCATCCATTCAGAAAGTGTCTATCCTTGCTTTGAACAATGCTAAGCACTTCAGCACTTTGCTTTTAACAAAGCCCCATGGTTGCTGCTCAAGAACCACCCCCTTGGGGTTCAGCACAGTCACACAGGGTGACAATCAACTTGTCCAACTCTCGCAACTCGCGCACAAAAACGGACCACTCTTGGCCCCACTGGCATCTGTGCTGTGCCCAGATGTGCTGTGCTGTGTACAGTATTCATTTGACTGGAAGAGATTACACGGCCCTTTGAAGAACTGACTCTGCTCATCTTCGCAGTTTCTTCACGGTTCGCCCCAGGCAACGCCGTCACTGCCCTCCGCGCCCTCCTTCCTGGGCGCGGCCCTGGGCCTCGGCGCTGCGTGCGATGCGCTGGGAGCAAAGCCACTGCCGCTGGAGAGGGGCGCAGTTGGGTTGGCAAAAGGAAGGTCAAAGAGGTGATGACATGTTATGAATTGTAGAATTGAACATGAGAATCTGGTTTAACATGATAAGGGTTTCAGGCTACTTCCCAACCAAAACTAATGGTCAACGAGATTTGAACAGACTTTGCGAATGTTTCCTCGAAAGTTGCTACTTTGGGGCTATACCCACTTGAAGCTGGATTGATGGGTGCGGAAGAGCTACAGTTCAGTTGAAAGAACACATATCAAAACAGAAGCATTTGGGGCGGATTGTTTCCTTTCTCAAACACTGGAGAGAGAGAGAGAGAGGTCCTTATTTCTACTTCGATGGCGTCCCTTTTTTCCAGAACAATGGCGACGATCGTTCCGCAGCTTCGATCGATCCAGTCGTGGACCGACGAAGAGTCCAGGACGCGATCAGCTCGACGGGTGGCTCCGCGGTCTATGGTGGTCCGGTGGACGATGGACGGCTGCTGATGCGCGAGCGCGTGATGCTGACGCTTGGAGCGAGGTGTTGGGGCCATTGGGCTTAAGGACGGTGCCTATAGTAGCAAGGTGCCTCATGACTAGTAGCTAGAAGCTACTAGGGTGGAGGCCATCGCTATTAGTAACAACGAGCTACTAAGCTACGAGTCACAAGGACATCGCTAGGGTGTTTTTGCATTGGCCTCCTTGGCTGAAAGATGGGCCTAGAGCAGGGCCTGGTGGTGGGCAAGTGACGAGATGGGAGAGACGATGGCTCAGGGGATGGGTGTCTCTTGAACATCTTGAATAAGCTAGTTGTGGGGAGAGATGCATCCAATGGGCAAAACAAGGGTCCTGACTCTAGTTGATGTTTAGGGTGAATGATGTGTGAATTAAAAGAGTCACTGAGCGGATCCGCAGCTCCCCAGCAGGCTCAAAGGAAATGATCGCACAGAGATGCACCAAGCGCTCATGAAGCTGTTTGGATGAAGATCCCAAGCAAGACCATGAGGGTTTGGGATTCAGACCTTTCATTCAGGAGGAGTTCGATCAGAGACCAAAATGTCGTAGCGTCCTTGCTCCTAGTAGCGATGCCCTTCCCGAAAGGGTCACACGGAGTTGATGTTTTCCCGACGTAGCTCCTGGCCTTACTACTATGTAACAAGGACGCTACTAGTAGTGCCCACGGTTGGTTGATGTTTTCCCGACGTGTTGACCGAGGACGGACATCCACGATGGCCGCAAGAAGGTCTTCCTGCGCTTGCCCGCCGCCGCCATGCTCAGGAGACGGCTTGGACGATGGAGACCGCTTCGCCTCCGCCAGTTCCGTGGTCAACCAGGGTCCCCCGGTTTTGACCCACAGGCATGTCTCATGGATGAATCACCAATGAATCACAAAAAGCGCGAAGCGATAAAAAACGCCTTGGACAAACAGCCACCTCGACGGATCGCATTGTTGTTTTGAAAGGAGAACGCCCCAGAAAGATTGACCTCTGCATCTGTGGGTGATTGGATGGGTTGTACTGTAACTGCCGTGGCTTGACCTCCTACCGACTTTCAGGTAGATTTTGTACCACCTGTAGGATTATGACCTCCTACCACTTTCAATACTGCAACTGTAGGATGTTTACCACGACTTTCAGGCAGATTTGACCTCCTACCCATCCCCACCACCTCTCCTCTCCTGCAGGGTGGCCGTCGTGTCGGGAGATGCAGAGGCGACTGAGGCACCGGACGCACGGACGGACGACCCGCAGACGTTCCGTGAGATGTGGAGGTTGGACTGATGTATGGTCGTAGCGTCCTTGTTCCTAGTAGTAAGGGCAGGAGCGCCCCTAGCTAGCAGCGATGCTCTGGTTCCTAGTAGCTTCTTGTTGAGGGCCATGAAGGTCAAAAGATCTGTGCTACTAAGAATGTCGGACGCGAAAGGAGGAGAATAGGAAACAGTCCACCCTGAGTGTCTAGCTGACAAAACCCCAAATCAACACCAAAGACATGCCGGAGTTCGCGTTCTTGTTTAAGACGAAAGATCTTGGACCTGATACAACTGTACAAAACAAAAAGCCTCTTGGATGCTCACAAACACTCTCCCTATCGCTTCAGCGAGCTCGGGAGATCATTCGGATGGTCCCTGACGCGTCGAGGTGGTCCTTGAGGATGGCAACCACCAGCCCATCGCGCCGGCCCGGAGCGAACGTGGACGCCGGATGTGGCGGATGGGAAGAGATTGAAAGGGACCTGATGTATGTGAAGCTACTAGGAACAAGTGCCACGCTAGTAGTAACAGGTGCCTTACTAGTAGTAACAAGAAGCTACTAATTGTTATTACTAGCTTCTTGCTCCTAGTAGCGTACATCACTTAGCTGGTCGAGGTCTTTGAATAAATTGGATCTCCAAGAGGTGTGTATGGAAGTCTTGAAGATACACATCCGTTTCTGTGCATTACCGGGTGGTGCGGGCTGTTCATCGATCAACAGAAGAAGACGCTCTACAGAGGGTGCTTGTTTTCGCAGAGTTTGTGGGACACTCAAAGCAACAGCCCGGCAGGTCTTGATCATGGAATTCTCCAAAGGTTTAGGGCAAACTGTTTGTTGCTGTGTTGGGCTGGCATGGATCACGTTCTTGTGTAATTTGGGCCAGCAAGAATGCTGGCAACGATCTTTGAATTAGAGGATGAAAGTCAAGACATCTTGTGCGCAGGACAAGCAAAATATAAGGTTCATCTATATAGTAACATGCAAAAAAAAATCATACTATAGTAGTTTTTAACAGGGAAGTTACTGTTCTCTTTACATGGGTTATTGTAAGGCCCAGCGGCCTCTTCACCAAAGCAGTGAGCCCTCGGCAGGCTGAGTCACACATCATGGGCGTGGGCCAAGCCGCCAGCTACATCTTAGAGGCAGTTGAAAAGCGACACGCATTTCTCCTCCAACCTAGGAGCAAGAAGCTACTAGGGGCTCCTGGCATCGCTACTAGGAGCAAGGACGCTACTAGGGGCTCCTGGCCTTACTACTAGGAGCAAGGACGCTACTAATAGACTTTAAGGAACCTAATAGCGATGGCCTCCAACCTAGCAACGAGAGGTTTTCCCAGATCAGATTGTTTCATCATGGTAAGGAATCTGAATGTCTAAATGTGTGATTCCTTATTAATTGTACACCAGTGACACGTTTGTTGGTACATGCTTACTTCAAGAGTCAGCATCTTCTTTGATATTCTCTTCCTGCCAGGCTGGAGGGGCTTTGCCAGGGGCTCAGAAGCGTGAGCCAAACGCCAGTGTTTGTGGTCTGGAGATCGTTCACGGCCACCATTCTTGTGGGTGGGTGCCACACAAAACGACCTTTCCATGTATACTGATTATGGCTTGGGTGATTTCTGATTGGCAGGAACGATCGAGGGTACCTTGGGTGTGTTTAAAGGAGACTCGACTTCAGCCTTGGACCTCAGCAAGGTGGCTCTCCTTTCATCGGGAGCATCGGGTGGCCGCCAGCGCAGGCTGGAAGCGGGGGAATCGTGGTGTCCATCACAAAATTGTTGTTTCGGGTGAAGGATGGAAATGCACCAAATGCCAGAAGCAAAAGCACAGCCGGATCCGCAGATGCGTTCAAGCATAACCAAGCTTGTATAGTGCTGGCAGCAGCAGTATTCTCCGATCAAAAAAGATCAAAAATCAATGACTGAATCAAGCTGTGACTTTTGGTGAGGCTGGATGTGTTGTTGAGGGTTCCTTGGAGGATAGGGATGGGAGAGTCACTGTTCGAGCCAACATCATCATGTTGCTGTGGCCAGAAACCACCAAATGATGCACCACAAAAATGCGCAATGAATGGACGGATTGAACTCTCTACCTTTGAACAACTGATGTCCCGTGTGGCGGTTTACAATCCATTTGGATGAGTTGGCTGACCAAATGCCAACGGGTTTTTCACTCCACAGCAGACGTCACCGACTCGACTCCGATCTTTGCAGAACACGATCAACCGAAAGATGCCTGTCTCCATCGTCTTTTGGGGCTGAGGAAGTCTTCCTATTGGAAATCCGAAGCTCGTTCCTACATAAGGAGCCAATGAAAAACTCGGAAAAAACTTCGAGATGAAGCTCCTTGGATCCATATGGTGGCCTCTGAGCCTCTCCTGCCTGAACTACCATGATGTGTTTTCTCTCTCCCTCTCTCTCTCTCTCTCTCGGAAAGATCGAAAAGTCTCAGATCCTACTGCAGGCTGCGCGTCCTTCGACCTCCTCGTGCAGTCCGCGCCCATGCAGGAGGGGCTAGGTCTAGGGCCTTGCCACATGTTGTGGGATCACAGTGCATTGAGTTCTTGCAGAAGGGTTAGCAGTGGTGGGAGTGGGAGGAGTAGCAGAAAGTATGTGTCGCTGCTAACGTGGTGTTGAATGGAGAAACCTACACCTCTCCTCCTGCCATATCTAGTGGTGTAGGTTCAAAGGAGTTTTTTCTCGGACACAGCCCAGGTGGGTGAGAGGGACGATCGAAGTTTCTACGACGCCCAATCAGTTGAAACCGCGACAAAAACATGTGAAGGTAGGACCATCTTGCCTACCCAGTCAGCAGCGAACCTGTCACCTTTTCGGGTGAAATTGTCTTTGTTCCACTCTGAGATCGAACAAGTGGATGAGAAAAAAATAATCCAACAAGGACACTACTGGGTCTCCTGGCCTTACTACCAGGAACAAGGACGCTGCTAGGGGATCGTGGCCTTACTACTAGGAACAAGCTACTAGGTTTGTTGAAAAGTCTCTGCTCACTCTTCCAGGACCTCGTTGCCATGTCCTCCTGCGGCAGCGATCGCCGTGCCACGTCCTATTGATCCCGAGAACCGTTTGCGTTGTCCAAAAGAAGAAGTCTTTTTCAAAGGGAGGGATCGTTTCCTGACCCAAGATGTCCCGCTTTCGCTTTTTCCCTCCTGTCTCTGTGGTTCCGTGGTTCTGTTGGTCAAAGACCAACTTCACTCGTCCGACCCAGCCTTGCTTCGGCCAAACTTCGGCATTGGCTGCAGTTTTTGAGGGTCACTTGCCACGCATGTTCCAAGAAAGCATCGCATGAGCGAATATTGAAGGCAATTCAAACGCAGAAGTGTCCTCGCATGTTTGTAGCCAGAGGCCTTCAAGATGAAAATGCACCGTTTTGGTTGCGACCTCTCGCTATGATGCAAACTCGAAAAAAGAGTCTCACTCGAATTGAGTTGAGTACTCATACGGCTCTTCACCTCTCCACCCCTCCAATCACCTCTTCGTCTTACGGTCGCCAGGGTGCCGCGGTCTCGTCCGTGCCGCCGCCCGAGGCGAGCTGCGCGACCTCGTGGAGCAGCTCCACGCCGTCGGCGACAGCGCCGTGGCCTCCGCCGAGGGCCGCGTCGTCGTGGGCGGCGGCGCCGCGGCGACGCTGGCGCTGCAACTGGCGGAGGAGACGCTGGTGGAGGTGGAGGTGCCTGGGGAAAGCATGGTCCTATAGGGTGGGAGCGTGCTTTTGAGGCTTTGAGGCAGTCTTTGCCAAAGGAGGCCATCAAAGAAGAGCTATGAAAGGCTGAATGCGGATAAATATGGATCACATGCAGGATTTATTGTCCATTTTCATGGATACCAAGCCGATCCAGACGAATGGATCGTAAATCTTCACCAGAAAGGCGACCAGGACAAATCCACCATAGACAGTGCTTGGCGGTTTCTCTACCTGAAGTGATCCAAGTACGCTTTCCGGTGCAGATCTGCAATTCAACTTGTGTGGCATTCAACTTCCTGCTCTCCAACCTACTAGCGATGGCCTCCAACCTAAGAGCGATGGCGCGATGGCCTCCCCCAACAATTCAACTTGTGTGTTTGAGCGCTTGAGGTGCAATTCAACTTCCTGCTCTCCAATGTTCACCTGTGGCTGCTAGAACCGCATGAGTGCGGGGGCGGTCTAGAGGGTGGCGCACTAGCCGTTGAGGTTCGCAGGTAGGTTCCAACCAAGATAGGGAGACTCCCAGTTCGACCCCCTGGGTTCGCTTCGGGACATAGACCAGTCTACTCACCCAGGGCGGGCCAGGGGGTCTCCTGACAAGATACACACACACCCATACGAGTCATGTGCTTTGCCCACGCTTTGCCCAAGCAGCGACAGTTTGCACCTGACCTGTGATGTGTGCGGCCGAAGCGGGCGAAGCACCCCGTTGGTACCAGCCTCACGGATTCGGGGTGTTTTTGTCTCCGCTACTCCGCTACTCAAGCACAGATGCCCGCGCCCTGACGCCCAAAGAACATGTGTTCATGGCGGGGTTGCTGATGCCGTTGCGGCTTGTGAAGATGCCCATGACCTGGCAGGTTCAGAGAACGGTGGCCTATCGGCCCTTTTGAACCGGTCGGGCATTGCCCTCAGTGGCACAGGTGAGTTTGTCACATCACCAAAACTTGATGGATCTCTACATATCTCCACCAAGCGCCCACACCAACCACCAATCTCTTCCAGCTTCTGGTTTTGGTAGCACCAATCCATCGCACAAAAAAGCATCTGCCAGGCTACAGACGCCCGGCGCTGGCCGCTCCCGTGCGGTGCGCGCCCCCCGCGTGCGTGCGCTGGGTCTGGCCTCGGCGGTGCGGAACGCGCGAGCAGTGCTGCGGCTGCGGCTCCATCCAGGTCGGTGCTTCGGTGTGTCGCCACCAGGTCGGTGCGAACGAGGTCGGGATAGGAGCCTTTTTGGGGGGGCCCAATGGTAACGAGTGTGTGGGGGGTTGTGGTTGGAGAAAGGATTGGGGAAGGCTCCATGGCTATGGTGGATTGCCTGAGATTCCTTTTTAGACCATTTCGGATGCATACCCATTGAGTCTCTGAGCGGAAAATACTGAAAGAAAACTGTGCATTGCTTGGTGAGGTGGCGCTAACTTCTTAAAGTAGGATCGATGAGCCAAAGGCTAAAGGCTAAAGACTAAAGGTCTGAACTGCAAGAATTGTTTGAACTGAAACTCTAAAAACCTAAACCCTGAACCTTTTGCAGATCAAAGAATCTTCAGATTCTCCCGAAGCGGCGAGAAGGAGACGGGAGATCTAGAACATGGTTCCGGGAATCGGCGAGCGGGGTTCTTGCGCCTTTCTGGTCAGTGGTGTTTTTCGCTGCATAGGCTGGGAGCCTTGACCCGTAGCATGGGTTCTTTTGTTGTTTGTTCTTTTTGGATTAGGAACATACTTGATGGCCCAAACTGCGAAAAAGAAATCCTGCATCCCCTGAGATGGATTTGTTCCAGGGACTTTTGCCAGAAAAGATCAGCTGCTATTGGAGGCCATCGCTAGTAGGTTGGAGGCCATCGCCTTTAGGTTGGGGGCCATCGCTCTTAGGTTCCTTAAAGTCCTTTTCTTCCTTGAAGTATACGTTTCTAGGAGCAAGGTCCTGGCCGTACTACTAGGAACAATGTTCGCTACGCACGGGGCTCCTCTACGAACGGAGCGATCGGACGCTACGCACGGGGCGACCCTGGCCGTAGTGTATTCATTTCAGTAGGTCACCCAGGTGGTCCGGGTGGTCGATGCGAACGTGGGTGGCGTTGGTTTCAGGCGAACATGTGGTGAACTTCCGCTCGGGACCCGAGCTGCTAAGGCCTCGGGGGATTCATGAACTTTCTGCTCTCGGCACCCTGCCAAGAGCACCGGGAAGCGCTCCCACATGGTCCCATAATAGTTCCCATAATATATTGTAATATTCTGAATATCATCCTTTGGTATCAGAACTAGCTTAGCAGCTAAGGCATTTGTAGATGTAGATGTGATCAGTGGCATCAATGAAGTTGGTTTAAACCGAGATACACCACTGTATAGACGTCCTTCTTTCAGATCTTTCAGGTGGGGGTCTTGCCGAAGAAAGTAGGAGGCAGGTGTCCGTGTTGTCAAGTGCTACGTCCAGATGCCCCTCGAAAAAACACACCCCACGGTTTGGTATCAAGGCAAATCTTAGGCTGGCACGGCTGACCATCTGATGCCCAGTATCGAGACTCTGCGGGACTCAAGTGTACGCTCAATTGAAATCTGACCGTTCTTTATTCTTAACATCCACAAGCAATTGAAAAAAATCGTCGGCTCTACTTACAGGTTCCGGGTGGAGACGTTCATTTGCGACTCTCCAGAAGACTTATGAAGCCAACTTTGTCACTCTTTTGGCTTTCCGACTCTTCGACTTGCCAAAAGTTTTTTTGAGCAAGAGGGAAAAAGGCCGGAAGATCAAAAGTGGGCAGAGGCTGAGGCGGAGGCAGGAGTTGGGACAGGAGACCGTTAGGTCGTTTGGTGGCTGTTTTTCCTTACTCCGCCCCTTCGGCCATCGACCAATCATTGGTTCGTTCGCAGAAAGCTATGTGCCATGATCAACCTGGAAGATGAACTTGGTCGGTTGACCTGCAGTGGCGATCAGCCAGTCACGCTACGAGGATCAGGCATATCATATCATGTAAGTGTGATGCTTTGGTTCAAGCATGGAAACTGGGGAGGGGTGTTTTGTTGCAGTAGAAACAAGTGCATCGCTACTAGTAACAAGTGCCTTACTACTAGTAACAAGAAGCTAGTAGAAGCAAGGGGTGTTTTGTTGTATCTCACTAATCTCACCTCCTGCAGACGTTCCCAAGGAACCACGGCCGGGTGTCTGAAACCGCGCAGAAAGCCAAGGCCATGACCCCGCCTTTCCGAAAGATGTGCGGGCCCCCGGCGACTGATGAGGTTGGATTGGGCCGTGCCCGACCTCGGCTTTCAGCTGCTGGCAGAGGCCAAAGCCAAAACCTCATGCTGACCCGACCTAGTCACAGCAACGCAGGGTGATCCGTGGTGGGAATGGGTGGTTTGGGAGCTAACATAAGAACGAAGTTCGGTAAATCTCCACCAGAGTCAGTTGATGATCATTTGGCAAATTTGGGTTGCAAAAAGGGTAGAAAGGAGATATACACATTTAGCAAAACAGTGACCAAGCACCAGGCGCCGAAGCTTAGTGAGGTTTCTGTTATCGGCTGACACATCTCCCGGTGAATGGCGACAATAAGCATTGGACAATGGCAAAGCGACATATCTCTGGACTTTTCGTCAACGGAGTGAAAACCACATGCAACCATCGACCCAGGCTTCGGTGACAAGAAGGCCACACAGCCACACACTAACCTCGTTGGCAACCCTCGCTGTATACCCCATCACTTGGATAAAGCGAGACTTCAGAAACCAGCAGGAAATGCCACAGAGAGTATTGCAAATGTCCGTAGGGCACACCCCTCAAATGCCAAGTTTAAGAATTGTTTCCCATCAAAGGCGGAAAAAGGAACCGTCGTCAATCGCACTATGCACAGGGCAGACGAACCGGAAGATTTTGAGCCAGTTGAGGTTGAGGTTGCTGCGCTACAGCAGCCAAAATTTGTGTGCCGCGGCCCACGTGCAGCAAGGGGCGCCAACCTTCCCGACGTCTCAGCTTCGTGGAAATGTCAAAAGACGTTCTCTCAGTTGAAATGAATAGGGTTAAACAATTGTTTCCGAAAGCTTGGCGCTGAGGCCGGGCCGATCAAGCTGGTGGTTGCCGGCGGGCAATGCGCTCCACTCGCATTGAAGCTGCGCCGGCTGCGGCTGCCCAACGCGCGACCGGTGCGCCGACTCTGGGAGGGGCTCCTGCCATTGATGGAAGAAGTCGTGAAGTACTTGACATGCACAAATGCATGTCTTGCCAAACACAATCTGTTGCAAAGCATGTGGAACTGAGTTACTCCAATTGGGCACATATTGGCACGAAGATCCACCAGTTGCTCTTCTTTTGCGGATGACACGAGGTGGCCACAGCCCCCATGGCCCCATTGGCGTGACTTGGCGGCGGCATCGGCCGCTTCGGTGACGGCTTTCGCCCCGGGAGACCTAGGGAACTTGCATATGTTGCAGGGGGCCCAGTGAGATGTTTCTGTACAGCGGCCTCCAACCTACTAGCGATGGCCTCCAACTTAAGAGCGATGCCCTCCAATGGAGTTTATAGCGTTCAATCTGATCGGACTCTGCCAGAGGCGCAAGGGGTGAAGAATGGAATCTTCAAAACATGTTGCTCCATGTCTCTGATCACACCTTTTTGAGATCCAGAGTACGTAGATCGACTACCCCATACCATTCCACTATGGGGATACGGTGTTGACCTTTATATTACAATCTGAATTCGGATTTTGCTTTGGCCAGGGTTGGGCAAGATAGGGCTTGAAGTGTGCCACAGCAAGATGTTGTCATAGTTCGCCATTCAACTGTGAACCAACCTGAGTCAAGCACACACTTAGAAACTTAGAACCCTTTGGAAACGCACAAAATAGAAAAGAAAAGCACCTGGACACAACCTCCAACCCAAAAGAAATGGAGGAAATCAACCTCCAGCCTGACCAAAAGCAGTCGACATGGAACCCAAGGGCTGGCAGCGACCTGGTGCTCCGCTTTGCCCTGGGCCACTCCACCAGCCGCGACGGCACCGAAGAGGCCCTAGACGCCGAGCTGGGCACAGCGCAGTTCCCAGTGCGGCCGAAAGCGTCCTCTGCGGTGGGAGGCGGAGGGTGGAGGGTGGGGCGGAAGGACTGCGGGCGGAAGGGCGGTGGGAATCTGTTCGACGCCTTTTTGGAACGGCCCTTTTCAGACTTCGGAACTCACCACGAGAGAATTTCGGAAATACCATGTCATAATGTCTGCGTGTAAGTATATGTGTGTTCTGGTTCCAGAAATCTGTTGCGAAACGACAGCTGGCAAAAGAAGAATGGTCAAGATTGATCAAGAAACCTCCCCACCCACCCATGGAATTGTGTATGTCATTCTGCTTCAATCAAAGGAACTAGAACCGGTATTCATTCCATTGCATCCCTGTGCGGATTCCATTCAGGCAACGGTGGCTTCGTCACCGTGGCGTGGCCTTCAGATGTCCTGGAGCAAGTGAGCCAAAACAGCGGTGCCGGACACCCGGTGCAGGCAGACCAGCGAGAGTGAGACCGGTGGACGGTGGACGGATGAAGAGACAGGAGTTAACTAGAAGTGTTTGTCGTTTTTGTTATTCAAGAGTGTCTTACTAAGAGTGTCAAGCAATGTTTGACCGTTGGTGTTCGATTGGGTGTGTATGCATTCAGGTTCGAGGGTTCCATCTTGTTTTAAGAATCATTTTGAAGCTCGCAAACCAGAGCAGGCGGGCATTGGCGGGCAGAAATCCCAAGCCATTTCCCGCGAGCGCTTTCGGGGCCTTGGGTCTTGGGTCTCAAAGCGAACATGTTCAGCCTGTGGAAAGTCCCAATATAGACGTCCTTGCTCCCAGTAATAAGGCCAGGAGTCCTGCTCCTAGCTTTTTTGTTCCGTTCGTAGCGATGCCAGGAGCCCCTTCCTTCGTAGCGTCCGATGGCTCCATTCGTAGGCTCATATATACTACTAGCAAACATTGTTACTAGTAGTAAGGCACTTGTTACTACTAGCGTGGCACTTGTTACTACTAGTACGGCACTTGTTACTACTAGCGTGGCACTTGTTATTACTAGCGTGGCACTTGTTATTACTAGTACGGCACTTGTTACTAGAAGCGATGCACTTGTTACTAGACGTCCGCGGAGGCGGAAGGATGTGCATCGAACGCCGCAAGGTGCAAGATGGTGCCAGCCGCATCTGGGCACTTCCGCTGCATTTCTCCGGAGGCCGAGCAGCATCCGCATGGGAGGGGCGGGCCGAATGGGAAGGGTTGTGAATTCGCCCCATGTTTGTCACAGCTTTTTTGAGGGCGTGTACAGTAATTATGATTAATTATGTTTCTATTGTGTTTCTTTGAGCCCTTTCCATAGAGAATCGATGGCGGCCTTGAACTTCGTCGGACAGTGATGTGCTTCGAGGCTCCCATAGAGCCTCGAGCCTGAAGAACAAGACACTCGACCTTGATTGTTGAAGAAGCTTGAGAAGAAAGCAAGACAAAGGAGTGATGTATCATCACTTGTACTGATACCATGTGGGTGGCTCAATGTAAGAACGCAGATTCAGGAGTCTTTATCATTGCCTCAACTCTCAAGAGTTAGACCATATACAACATGCCTCTTTGTCATGGTTTAGGGTTTAGGCTTGTTAGACCATCCGGGTCTTCATCCTCGGCTCCATCTTCCCACCCCCGGCTGACCCGTTCCTTCGTTCGCTCGTTCTCCACGCGGTCGCGGTCGTGTTTCGGCTCGTCGTTCCAGGCAACGGCGAGATCTGGGTGGCGCTGTACCGTGGAAAGTCCGGCAAGCCTTGGGCTGGTGGGACGGCGCCTCCGGTGTGGCGCGGTCGCAGGGATTGGGAGGGATCGATCTGATCTGGAGACTTTCTGTGAGTTTCTTGGGGCGATCTTCTTAGGTGCTGGTTCGTTGGTGTTTGGCGCAGGTATTTTTTCTAGGTGTTGGCTGGTTTTCGGATGGTTGATGGCGGACATGGGTATGGTTTTCCTCTTTTGGTACTGTTTTGAGTCTGTTGGTACTTTTGAAATTGGAAAGACCATCTTTTGGCTTTTTATATTTCATGGTTGGAGGCCATCACTATCAGAAACAAAGGAAAAAGAAAAGGAATAATGAACAGTAGACTAGTAGTAACAAGAAGCTACTAGTAGCTCCTGGCATTACTACTAGTAGCAAGAAGCGACTAGTAACAAGCGCATCGCTACTAGGAGCAAAGAGGCTACTAGTAACAAGGGCATCGCTACTAGGGGCGCTCCTGGCCTTACTACTAGGAACAAGAGGACGCTACTAGGAACAAGTGCATCGCTTCTAGTAACAAGTGCCTTACTACTAGGAGTAAGGACGCTACTAGGGGCGCTCCTGGCCTTACTACTAGGAACAAGAGGACGCTCTAATCTCTTCGACTCTTAGCCCATTCGATTCACCACCTCGGTGAGCAAATGAGGTCAGCCCCCCCCGGTGCTTTGGCCAGCAGACGACCGGGAAAAGGCTGCAACAGCGTTGGTGGGGCTGGGCCAGACCATGTGGCTTGGCACTTGGCACAACAAGTTCTGAACAGAAGGGAGAAGATGTGTGAGGCAAGTGCAAAAGCGTTTTCCTTCAAGTGCACCTTCCCAATGAAATGGCCTCTGTAGAAAGGGATTTGCTCACTGGCTCGTTCCATGAGCACACAAGCAGACCGTGGTAAAGGGAAGAATCCACTGGGTGGACCAAGGTCTCAATAGTGAAGTCCGACTCCATTGAATGAAGACAGCTAGTAGGTTGGAGGCCATCGCTACTAGGGTGGAGGCCATCGCTATTGGAGGCCATCGCTGTTAGGTTCCTTGAAGCCTATTGAAGCCAGACACCCGTGTCAGGTTCCTCGGGTTCCTGTTGCTTTGGACCAAGGCCTTCAACCCCGCAGCTGGCGGTGTCCGCGCCAGCCCCCGCGGCCGGCTTCGTCTCCACACGGATGCGACTTGGGCCCAAGGTTTGCTGCCTCCAGCCGGAAAACCCGTTTGGCCAAATGATCTGGAACATGGTCGGTTGGTTTCAGTCCATGACGTGCTGTTTGGAGGCCTTGCCTAAATTTTGATCCCAGCATTGACCATCTTCGGTTGTGGGATTTCGTGTGGACTCCTTGCGTAGGGGACCCCAACCCCTTGGAACGCCTCGGCGGCAGCACCACATGGGACCCCCTGGTGGAGAATCAGCGAGGCTCTCGTGGTTCGTGGTGCTCGGACTCATCGTGGCTTGGCCAGAAGGGACGGTGGTGGTTGCACAGCTGCTTTTGGGTTCCAAGGTGCTCTGACTGGGTCTTGCCAGCCACAGTAACCCATAAAGAAGCATGATGAAGCATGTCTTTTTGTTGCAAACAAAGGGGCTGAAGTCTTTGAGAGGTCCTGTTAACTGTTAAGAGGAACTTACGTATTCCTTTGGTTAAAACAGTTCTTGTTTTGAATAAGCATTCTGAAAGAGCAGAAAGGGGGAGTGACGGAACCATTTCAAGAAGATGACTATCGCGCCGTAGGCACTTCGAAATAAACTTGTTTGGTGCAGCTGAAAGTTTGGGCGTTTCAGATTGCACCATGGCCACTATAGCTTCGCAATCATCTTTATCACTTTCGGCTTGACTCCTTAAAGGTGTAGAACTTGAACAAATTTAAAGCAAGTTCCCAAGGTTGGAGGCCATAGCTAGTAGGTTAGAGGAGGCCATCGCTAGTAGCCCAAGGTCACACTGGGCTTACCGTGACGCCTTGCGTGACGCTTCGCCCTCACGGATCGCGACCGATCGCGACCTTCGCTTGCGCGACCTCCGCGGCGGAGGTCTTCTACTACTTGCACTCCCGGCCCTGGCAGCTGTTGGCGCTGATGTTGGGACCCTGGATGCGTCGGAAACCGCAAGGAAAGGACGATGAGAAGGGGGAAGAAGACCCCACTGAAAGAGACGACTGGACCTGGACTGGTCTTCAGTGATCTCTGATGAACCACCGAAGGAACTGATGATTCTGTCTTCTCATGAAGGATTCTGGAGGATGGAGGAATTGTGCGTCTGACCAGCAGACAAAAAGCAGCGTGCCAAACACCTTCCTTTCATTTGCTTGGTGTTTACATGTGTTTACTGTATGTTCAGACTCAAAACAGTAGATTCACCGGAATGGAATTCCAAACGTGTTCCGTTTTCTCAGACCGAGGCGCCGGGTGCAGGAGCTGGGCCTCTTCACGCGCTCCGAGCACGTGGGCGGCTTCGCGAGCTTCGAGGTGGTGCTGTGTGGAGCGGAAGTCCAGACCGTTTGAAAACGCCTTCGTCGTGTGGAATTCCAATTGGCCCATCCTGAAAGCCTTCACAAGCGGGGGAGAGAGAGAGAGAGAGAGAGAATGACCATCACAGCTGGGTCTTCACCTGCTGGTGCCTTGCTTTTTTGGAGGACGGACTTTAGATTCGGTGTATTTTCCGGATGTGGAAAAGCACCAGAGGTCTTCGTGTTGCGAAAGCGCGAGGCCTCCTCTGAGATGACCAACCCTTGGTCGTGGCCTGCAGGGACACCTTCTGTGATCGGCACTTCAGGTGCCACAGCGCGCCCGGCGCGGATGTGCCTGGGCAGAGGGCGAGCGGCTTTCGCTGATGCGGTTCGGGGATGAGACAAAGAGCGGTTTTTTGGGACCAAGGCTGGTCTTGATTTTTGTTGCTTGGGAGCTGAATCCGGGGAATTTGCTGTCACTTGAAGGGACGAGGAGGCTGCAACTGGTTCGTTACTGGCTCGTAGGCCTCAAGTAAGATGGAGCCAGAAGAAGAAGAGGTCCTGAAAGACGAAACAAGTTCACAAGCATTTTACAAGTAAAGAAATAGCATCTTGAGGTGCCATGTTCTCATGATATAGGTCAGGGGGCGCTGTGGTGTACAGCTTCATTGCTCGAGGCAGGGGTGTCCCCTGTCAGGGGCATGGGACGTGTTTGCCTGAGGTACGGCACGTTGGACTACTGATCCCTGTCGAAGAAGGAGGCGATATTTCATTCGTTTCCCGGGGCCAGGCAGTGGATCACCATCAGTTGACCTTTTTGGTGTTCGAGACTCCAGATTTGTCACAACATGTCTCCTTTGACTGTCTTCTGGTGCTTTTCACAGAGCGAAATAGGTTGGAAAAGCAGGCATACTCTTGGGGTGAAGATCCTTTCAGTGCCGGCGCCACCGACAGGATGCGGGCATGCAGCAGCGTCCCGCCGCATGCCGCATGCCGAGCTGAGTTGCCCACAAGCAAAGTCGGTGAGCGTGACTTATGGATCAACCTCTCCCTGGTTTCCACTCTACTAGCGATGGCCTCCACCCTAGTAGCGATGGTTTGCAGGTGTTGCTTTTGGCAAAGGTGCAACAGAGTTGTGTTGATCCATCGTTAGTGCCAGCGGTCTCTGAAGAAGAAGGCATCATTCTTCTCAGTTGCCCAACACTACCACAAATCTGTTTTAAGATTTGCAATGCAAACTCATGTTTGAGCGGCTGAGAAGATTGCTTTGTGGACGCTGAAGAATAGCCAAAATGGCCGACAGTGGTGATTGAAGCAGCGTGAAAAAAACCGGGGAGTAGTTTGACCCTTGCAAGCAGAAAGGAAAGAAAGGGATCGATTCCTTCCTCAAGAACAGTTAATCACTCTGGAAAGTTCTGTTCCAGATTTCCCACAACTACATCAAAAATGTTCATTTGCCATCTGATTCCACATGTTATTGTTTCTCACCCATTTGCAAATGTTCTCCTCTTCTCCTCGAAAAAACGCGTGCCAGGCCTTGACCATGGATGGTTGGCACGAGCACATCCACTTTCACAAACCCAACTTCTGCGTTCTGCACCTCGGCCCCAAACCGCCCGACCCGAAGCGATCCATGCGAAGACGACCCGAACCGGTGAGGACCACCCATGCGTTCATTGGAACGGTTCCCACCGTTGGTCGTGTAGCCACAAGGTTCCGGGTCGATCCTGTTTTCTCGACAGGACCAACAGATGAATTCACCAACACAGTTTGCCCAATGGGATGCTACTCGCAGAACTGCATGGGGAAGTTTGTGGTTGGTGCTGTCAGTGTCCGGCAATTTTGCAGTCCACTTTCATCTTTGGCTTTACCATCTTGCTTGTTGAAGTGAGAAGATGTTCCAAGAGATCCTAATTCCCACTCTGGAGCTGACGGCACTTCCTCAGGCAATGAGTGTGGCCAAGACTCAGCTCCTTGGGCGTTGGCACGAAAAATGGCCTGGGGGCAGAAGTGCGCAGAAGTGCATGAGGGACTGCTTGACGTGGGAGAACAAGTCTAACATGTCTTAACCTGATAATGCTTGGAGTTGCAAGGAGCCCAACAGTTTTCGGAATGTGGGCAGAGTTGATCGCCAGCTACGACCCGTGGCCATTCCAAACAAAACTGGTCAACTGGAGCTACACACCCAAGCAACATACCTCATCACCGCATCACAAAGCAACATGGCATCAAGAACCGCAGTACACAACATCACAAGCAACCACTTGCAAAAAGCTGCACAACTCCGGCAAACACAACTCAACCTGCCGACCCCAAGCACTTGTGACGCCTATTCTTTTTGGCAGAGTTCCTTAGGTTGTGTGAAAGTGGTAACTGGAGAAGTGGGTTCTCGTGGTGTATGGCGCAGAAGACCGACCAAATGCTACAGATGTGGTTCCCCCGTCTGGATGGTGCGCAGTGCCATTTGGATCTGGAGGCTCAGGCAGCCCATTCAGGGAGAAACCAACGCGTTGGTGGCTGTGTTGAATGTTGTTGCTTATTTATTTCGCAGAAGCTGTGCTTTGAGACTGACCAGCCTTCTTCAGCTGGGTGGCTAGCCATGAGGTTCCAAACACGATTGAGAAACCAAATCACGCATGTCAAAAGGCATCTATCTCATGCCACGACATCCTCATGGCTTGTTGATCCCATCAACGACGTGTTTCTGATCTTTTGCGACTGCCCATGCGTTCTGTTCGAACGGAGCGATCGGACGCTACGAACGGAGCGATCGGACGCTACAGCGAAGCGTTGCTCGCCCTGATCGAAGACCTTCTTCGTCGCCCTCAGGTGTTCCGCGACGGCGATGTGAAGCTGGAAACGCACGACTCGCGTCCCGGGAGACTTGAGGCGGGAGGGAGGGGCTGTCGTTCCCTCCGACAGGCGTTCCCTCCCACATGGGGTTCCAACAAAAGGTTCGGGCGATTCTGGCGGATCTGGAGGAACAAGAGAAGTGGAGACGGTACGTCTTGAGAAAGTAGCTTCTTGTTACTACTAGTAAGGCACTTGTTTCTACTAGCTTCTTGTTACTACTAGTAAGTCACTTGTTCCTAGTATCGATGCACTTGTTACTAGTAGCTTCTTGTTACTACTAATGTTCTTTTTGTACCATGGTTTGAGAAAGACCCACAGGTGGAGCGGCTCCGTGAGACCTTGGCATCCAACGAGGCTCGCTTCGGACGGCGACATGCCGAGACGCTGAGTGCGGTGACGTGCCTGGCGCAGTGTCTGGAGGAAGCGGGGAAGCTGAAGGAAGCGGAACCACTCTACCGGAGAGCATTGGCAGGTCAAGTGGCACAGCTTGGAAGTACAGATCCTTTGAGTTTGCGAGCGACCAGGGACTTGGCATGTTTGTTGGAAGAGCAGGGGAATATCGATGAGGCTGAGGCTCTTTGTTGGCAAGGCTCGGCAACAAAGGAGGTTTCGCATCGTAAAGCATTCAAAATGTTTGCGATCAAATTTAATGATAATGCTTTGTATTACCTTTTCCTGTGCGCTTGTGGATTGAAACATGTTTTTGCTCGTTTATTTTCTGGAAGGGTTTGGATGGTGAGAACTGTCCGTTTATCCATCAATTTATTGTTTGCAATTGGAGTGGATCAAGCTGTAGAAAGTGCAAGTCTCAGCCGCTCACGCCTCTTGATTGTTGCCCGTTCCCGCTGTGTTGGTTGGCAGATTTTTCAGGGTGAATGCCCACACTCCAACCCGAACCTTCCTCCGCCTTCCCCTCCCCCAAACCAGGCATGGCAGGGTGTGAAACTCAGCTGGGGGCAATGCATCCAGACACTTTGATCTCGGTGTTTGACCTGGGACGTGTGTTGAAGAAGCAGAAGAAGCTGGACACCGCGGAGCCGCTTTTGCGACAAGCGTTGGCTGGGCAAGAAGCTCAACTTGGAGCTGAAGATGAAGCAACACTCGCATCTGTGGATGAACTCGCAAGTCTACTGGAGGATCAGGCCTGGGGAGTTGTTTGGAGCGGAGAATGTTTGGATTTGGATAGCCTACGGTTGGTGGGTTGGATTCAGTCAGTGATTGTGTCGTGTTGGGAAATGTGTGGGCTTTCCAGTACGGAAGCAGAACGTGTCATCCGGGCAGATGACGTGTTTGTTTTCTACTCGATCAAGTCTACGCATTGGACCAACATGTTCCATTCCCCAACCGGATGATAGAAAAGAAAAGATAATGAAAGAAGGATACAGAAGGAATCGTTGATTTCTTCGGGGAGGGTACTCACCGTTTCTTCAGATGCCAGGGGAAGCTGGAGGAGGCTGAACTTCTCCTGCGGCGAGCCTTAAGTGGTCGTGAGGTGCAGCTGGGCAGCGTTCATCCCAAGACGTTGACCTCGGTGAACAACCTTGCGGTGTTCCTTCACAACAAGGGGAAGCTGGAAGAGGCTGGCTGGGGTCGGGATGAATGGGACAAGACTTTCATGCAACTGCTTGTGATCTTGATGTAGCAGCGCGTGTCCCAAATCCTATGAATGAAGATACCCTAGGTAAGTCGACCTGTAGTCGAGCTTCAAACCCTCAGAGCCACAAGGTTTCTGGATGCTGAAGCGCCTGTAAATTGCCGCGTGGTATCTGTGTTCATTGAACACCCTTTGGATCGAAAACAAGAAAGCCAATGAAAGCCAAGAAAAAACCTTCCAAGTTCTTTGACAGAAGTCTCTTGAAGACACATTGACAGAAAATCCTCTCACTTGTTTTCCTTCCTTTCCCAGGCGGAGCGCTTTGCTCGTCGCGCCGTGGCCTGCCGCAGCACCGCGCTGGGCGCCGCGCACCCGGAGACGCTGTGCTCGGTGCACGGCCTGGGGCGGGTGCTAAGGCAGCGGCGGAAGACGGAGGACGCCGTCGCGGCGTGGTCGGGGAAGAGCTGAATGCAGAAGGGCGGTGGCTTGGGAGGGTGGGTTTGCTTTTGGATGCATGGGAGGATCCAAGCGGACTAAAACCCGGTTGGAAGTCCTGGTGTGTCACAGACCATGAGACTTGTTTGACCATTGGGTCTTTCGTATACTATGAATTCACTGCAATGGCGGGGTAGACCGTGAGATCAGAAACACAGACAAATGACCCTCATTATGAATCTCACATTCCTTGTGATGCCCTTTCTTGAGGCCTTTTGTACCTAAGAACAAGCCGGATAATTGTTGCTTAGGCCCTCCCGCGTGGCCTCCTCTCCACCGTTGCTTTTAGGAGGCCGAAACTTTGTTGCGGCGAGCTGTTCTCGGTCGAGAGAGGCAGCTGGGAGGGATGCATCTCAGCACCTTGGCCTCGGTCCATGAACTGGCCAAGTTGTTGGAGGAAAGGAACCTGGAGGAAGCCGAGCCTTCGCCGCCTTAGCCAAGCACCTTTTTTGGGAGTGTAGGAGAAGAGTGTATTGGGTAATGCAGCCAAATCCAAGAACAGAGCACGCTACCATCCTGGATCCTACGGTTTTTGGACAGGAAAATCCCTCCACGTCGCTCCGGACACCGGTCCGGTCGCTCTCCGCCACGGTCGCCACGTCGCTCGCCGAGGAGTTCTTGTTGCGCCGCGTCGTCGAGGGCCGGGAGCGGCAGCTGGGCGAGGGGCATGGCCTGACGCTGGAGGCCATCTTTGACTTGGCGGAGCTCTTGGCAACGAAAGGGGATGAGTTGGAGGTCGGGAGTGAAAGAGATTTCGGAGAGTGACCGGTTTTAGGGATGTTTGCTGCGTTGAAGAGGTCCTGCTGCCCCTCAGATGGATAAGTGCTCGTTTTGGCAAGCTTTGATGTCGAGTGGCTGGCCCCACCAAATCGTCATGCAAGTCTGGAATGGTCTACTTTGCAGTCGTCCGGTTCTTCCTGTGTCGATTTCTTGAGCACGGAAGGTTCCTTGAGCGACCGTGCGAAACTAAATGAATCACCTTGCCCCTAGCAGACCATTCTGTTCATTCCAGGAGTGACCAGATCAGTATGGGAAGCCCCAAAGCACCAGATGCTGCCAATTTGGCACCAATTTGCCAATAAAGAAATGCCCCATTGGTGGCTCTTCGTCGACTTCGAGATTTTGAGATTTTGGACACGTCGTGTTGAAAGCGCAGATCACTTTGTTCATCAAACCAAGGTGTATGGATGGTACCGATGAACACCTCTATATATTACAACGTTCTTCCTGTTCTTCTTGTTTGTTTCCTAGTAGCTTCTTGTTACTACTAGTAAGGCACTTGTTACTAGAAGCGATGCACTTGTTCCTAATAGCTTCTTGCTCCTAGTAGTAATAGTAGTAATAGTAGCGTCCTTTGCTCCCTTCGTAGCGATGCCATTTGTTCCTCGTAGCGTCCGATCGCTCCTTGGAGCTCACCGCACCGAGCCAGGCGGAGCGGCTGTACCTCCGAGAGTTGGATGCTTGGGAGGCACCCGCGTGCGGCGAGTGACTGGCATGCGCGAGCCGCGAGCCGATGGATCTCGCATGGCGTCCTTCATTCGGGTCGGGTCAACGCGAACTGGAGAGAGGCTCATGTGTTTCTTTTCTCTCAAGAACGCAACGTTGATTGAGGGTTGGAGGTCGTGTGGATATTCTGATTTGTGCGTGCCGCACAGGAATCGGATGTCATTGGATGAAAACGGCGAACTTGCAACCTTTGCATCCAAACAGTTGTGTTATGAATTATGAATGGTCTGTTCAATCTACCCCACTCAAGGCAGGCAGATTGTGCTTTTAGTTCATTTGAAGCCAGAAATCCTTCGTATTTTGCGTGGGAATCACTGTCCATCTCAGAATCTCAGGGAATGTTGAAGGATGTTTCCGTGTGGTACTGTCATCGTCGCTCTTGACAGGAGCTTCTGGGTTGTGAGCATCCCAAGAGCCAGGAGCGTGCAGAGAACTTGGAGCGTTTCCGACGACGGCCCAATGAGGAAAAGAAAAATGCTGACCGGCAAAGAATGTGTGATAGCATTGATAGCATGGGATAGTGAAAGTGAGCAAGGACTCAGAACAGTTAGGTGATGGGTTGTCTACATGGGCTTTTGTTTTGACAGTCGGCAGACGTACAAAGTACATAGATGGTAGCCGAGCCCGCCAGGGCTCCTGCATCCACATGTATAGACACATATCTACCTACAGATATCTAAACACAGCCTTAACATGATGATGATGATGATGATGATGATGTTCTTAAAGGAGAACCCTTCGCAGGTGGGTTTGTTAAAAGTTGCAATCCAAATTGAGCACGTAAAAACTGCATTCTGCGACCGCTCAAAATGCCTTGCAATATCATTCCATTGTTGCAGCGTATTTCTTCGCTAAGAAAACGAGTGGCCAACGAAATGTAAGTTCTTAGTCCACTGGTTGAGTGCCTTTTGCTCGACGAAAGGCAACAAACCTATGCGGTTCGAAGAACCCAAAGGCATTTTCCTAAGAGCAACGCACCCCGGTGTGGAACGTGGCTTTCCTCTCGTAAAATGCTTTCCCTCGCTTACAGCCGCCGTGTCTGACTGGGCCCCTTCTTGGATCTGGGGCCCCTGCTCTTGGCCCGGCGGTTGACCGACACAGCTTATGACCGTTAGATGAGAGGGAAAAAGCCAGGCCATTCTTTCCATCAATAACCGTTTAGTTTTAAAGGGCCAATGCCAAGGATGAATATGAATTAATCGGTGGTTGTCATGTGCCTTTTCATTTCTTCTCTGGGCAAAAGCCCTTTATAAAAATAGAATTCAGTGTAAATGATAAAGGCTTTTGCTTTTGCTCTTAATCTATAAATTAATTGCTGTAGTTGTGGACCTTCCATCTCTTATAGATTAAAGATGGAATCATGATTATAGAAAATAGAAAATATAAAAGATAACACCATTAAATTGTCTTGAGACATGAGTCCCGCGGTTCGAAGCTTCTGCGCACTGGCTTTGGCGGTGATGCTGGTGAGCTGTTTGGTTTCCGCGCCTTCCGGCCAAGGCGCGAGCCTGATGAAGGTAAGACGTTTGAAGGTAGGCTTGCCTGCGATCGATCATTGGCGTTGCTTGCATATGCTTTGTAGCAGCCTTCGAGCAAATGCCGCAAAGGGCCAACCTTTGACTAACAAATACACACAGAACTCACACAGCGCGTGCTTTCAAATGTGTTCTCACAGGTGTGATGATGTTGGTGCTCTCATATGTGTGCTCACTCATACCCGTGCTCTCACATCTGCGCATATGTCCCTCATCTGCGCCCACTTGACTCAAAAATGGGTCGTTGACCCCGAACATCCAATGGGCTCAACCAATTGAGGTATCACACCAATGAGTCTTACACCACAATTGGTCTATCAAAAGGTAAGAGTATCTCGATATAGGTATCTTTTTGGTCTACCACAAATGGTCTCGCTCATTTTCACCTTGTTCTTTGGGCACTCGCACCTGGTTCTTTGCCCGAAGAAGCACCCTGTCAGTCAGGGGTGTTCACGTGAGACGTTCTTCGCATTAGCGGGCTGCGGTGTGCTGGAACTTCTATGATTCCAATTCTTTCAAAAGTTAGCGGGGTCCTTTTCAAATCAGTTGGCTTTGAAGAAAACCACTGATCAAGTTCCTGCGCCAGAAAAAGGAACCTCCAGCCTCCACTTGGTCTCACTGGCACAAGCGAACGGCTCAAGCTGTCCCACCATGGGAGCCAAGTGTTGCCGTCCGAAATATCATCCACTGCCAGAGGCGTGAGGGATCGGCTGGAGGGGATGGGCATAAGGATTGCAACAGCCCTAATAGCGTCCTTGCTCCTAGTAGCGATGCCCTTGTGTTGCGAAATGGGGTGAATTCCTTTGCACTGTACTTGAAGATACCTGAAGATAGCTGAAGGGGTTTGACGACTCCCACACCCTGCCGAACTCCCTGTGAAGGTAGTGTTCAGTTAGTCCCACCATCAACTCCCAAGTTTTGTGGAAAGTGCGACTGTTTGATGGATCTGAGGGTTCATTTTCGGATCGTTCGTGAAGTCAACTCCCTAAGAAACCTTCCTCCAATGTACTTACAGTACTGGCCAACCAACCCATATGGCACATGTTCAGCTCAACCGCCCAAAACCCGCTGGAAGACTAGGAAGACTTGGAAGCTCCGTCTGGAAGCGGCAGAATCGATGAGGCCAGCGGGGGATCCCGACATGAAACAATTCTTTGCGAGAGGTTCTGAATCTTTGGAAGATGAGGAGAAGGTATGAGAAACCACCCAGAAACAAAAATAACATCATTGGGTGACACGTTTCTTGTTGTTTGGTGGTTCGTTTCTTTGCACTTCCTGCCAAGAGGTTTTCTTGTCTGTTTGAAAATGACCGTGTTTGAAATCGGTTTAAATCCCTATCCTTCGGCCCTGATTCTTTTCCTGGGGAACTTCTCAATCACATCACCAACCAAAAGATTGGAGCAGTTGACATCAGGTCGCAGAAAACACAGCAACACACACGACCCACGCTGAATTACTTGAATGCACAGCCTCCCAAAAAAAAAATAGAAATGGAGAACCATCCACCATCTGTGTTTCTTAATATCCAATCCAGTCTTTTAATCCATTGCGTTTGCGTGATGTCCGAATGTTCTCCGATGGGGACCAGCCACCAGCCTTGGCAAGACAAGCAAAGAACCGCTCCCATGAGCGACAGGTGAGCCTTCGGGAGTATTTTCGGAAGCACTACCAGAAGGGTGGTTTGTTCTTGCACCGAGAGTATCAAGCTGAAGCTGACTGGTGCTGGCTGCATGAAGGCTTAAAGATTAAGGTGGGTTGGCTGTCCTTCGTATGTTTGCTTTCTGTCGCTGTTTGCTATGGGGACAGAATCTGGACCATGAGCAGATTGAATATATTTATGTCCTCCCTGTAGCGCTTCAATGACCTCCTTAAAATGTTCATTGCACCTCTTTTTAGTCACAGCAATCAGCAATCCCACATCGATGTCGAGGTTTGGCAAGATGCTCTCCATTGGATTTCGCTTGACACTCCATGTCACACACGCTGCACGCGTGGCGGAGCAAGCGGAGCGAACGATGTCCGTGAAGTGGACTGTTTCTTTCACTACACCACGGAGCTGGGCTTCCGGAACATCACTAGTCCACGGACCACTTCAGATATGCTGGTGCGGAGCTCAGGGCGGCGGGTGCCGAAGCCGGCGGATCACTTGGGCATCCGAAACAGCTCAGCCGAACTAAGTGGTAAATAGAATCGAAAAGCATTATTTGCAGCACTTAGAGTTCCTATAAGGCTCTGTCTGTAGGATTGATGTTGCAGGGACAAGGGTTGCGATGGGTAAACTGGTGTGCGTGCAACGTTCACATGCTGAATCCCAATGGCTCCCACTCAGCTTCAAATTGTTAAGCAAATTGTTCCTAGTAGCTTCTTGTTACTAGTAGTAAGGCCAGGAGCCCCGTTCGTAGCGTCCTTCCAGCGTTGGCGCAGGCTTCTTTGATCGACGGGAAGAGAGCCAACACTTGGGGAAAAGGCACGCCGTGAGACGCTAGACATGCGATCCACGAGACATGCAGACGAAAAAAACTTGCACGCACTCGCAATTAACTAATAGCTAGTAGTAACAAGTGCCACGCTACTAGTAACAAGTGCCTTACTACTAGTAACAAAAAGCTATTTGAATTAAAATAGAATTGAATTGAATTTAAATTAATAGCTTCTTGTTACTACTAGTATGGCACTTGTTACTAGTAGCGATGCACTTGTTCCTAGTAGATTCTTGTTACTAATAACGACAAGAACTGTTTTGTTTTGTTTAGTTTCCAACATTTGCTGTAGATTCTCGCGACTGCGAAGAAAAGAATTTTCGGCGCAGGAGTGTATTGCGTGCAGAAGGCCCCGGATGAGTGGCCAGATGTCGAGACATTGATCGACAATCACTATCGCAGCATGCTCAAGCGTGAAATCGACTTGAAAGGCTCTGAGATGGCGATTCAGGAGATCTCTCTTTTTTTTTTGCGTTGGAGGTGTCTTTGTCCATGGACGGATGTTTTTTTGCAAGTGTTTGCTTTAAAGGCATGCATACGACATAGTGCATGTCCTTTCAAAAAAGGAAGCTTTTGTTTCTCTCCTGAAACGGGAAAACGTCTCAGGAGTGTCGCTCAAGGGTGGCCTTTTGCATACCTGTTTTGGTGAAAGCAGCCCATGTCTACGATGTCTCGAAGCGCGGGACGCCTGAGATGCTTGAGAAGGCTTGACGGCGTCCCGTAATGTGCGTTGGTTGACTGAAGATGATGATTTGGCTTGTTGTGCCCATACAAGCGATGGCCTCCAACCTAGAAGCAATGGCCTCCAACCTACTAGTAGTGTGTTTTGCCCATACAAGGGCCTTGGCTTAAGTTGGCCTTATATAAGCCTTTCAACGACGAAGCTCTTGCACTTTTCGCACCACTGCTGCAAAAGCATGGAATATTAATGTAGTAGTGTTTGATTCCAGCAACAGCGATCTGTGTGAGTGTGTTCTTTTCTGTTTCCAGGGGTCTCAAACCAGTTCTCCATACATGACAGGGCAGGCCTGCCAGTACGCTGGGGGACTCAGATTTTGCACGGTGGCGAACAAAATGATCTTGGCATGTTAGCAGCAGGTGTTTATGTATTTCTGCATCAGTCAAGCTCAGACTTTTTGTCCAGCAGTATGTCTCACGTCCAATGAACTGTTACAAGGAGCCTGGTTGGCAAGCCGAACGAGCCCGGAAAGCCACCCAGAGACTGTGCAGTTCTGCGAGTTGACGGCGACGTCGACTACGCTGCAAGATTGACCGAAACGAAGCTCGTTGAAAGCCGGCGGAGCACCTTCGAAGAGTGTGGAAACGGATGGCGATGGTGCATTCCGATTGAAAAAGAACAAAGACAAGGAAGAAAGGTCTAAAGGTCTTAAGAGGAAAGAAAATGATTCCTCTTCTGTTTCCTTGCTTCCCTCTTCCCTCTTTTTCGGTTCTGCTGCATTTCTTGACACCCAGCGTGTGGTTGCCCATGCGGTGTTCAAGATATGTCCTGCTATTGCAAGAGATTTCATATGTTTTCATCTTGGAAACTCCAAACTCCACGGTTCTTAGCATCCTCAGGCCACCTGCATGCCAGCATTGGGGCATCGAAATCCATGGATGGCCCTCTAATTCTCCACATGGGACTGGATTTGTCACCTATGTGGCACTTACATAACCACCGTGGTGAGATCATAGTCATCACTACTAGATAGACTTCAGTATTTGTTGATGTTCTTTTCCAACTCGTCTAGTTGTCGTTGTTAGTCATTTGCCTCTTTCTATGTGGCAGTCACGGTACCTCAAAGCCAAACGTAGACGCGCGTTGCCCAACCAGCGAGGTCCCGTCACGTCACAACCAGTGAGGCTCCGCGGCCGCGTGGAAGCACTCACAAAGCGCTTGGGCTGGCGGCATTTGGAGGCCTTGGCAGCCTGTGGCCGGTGTGGAGCTCAGGGGGGAAGGAAGGAAGGAAAGAAGGAAGGAAGCAGGCAAGCAAGCAAGAAAGAAAGAACACAAAGTAAACATGAAGAATAGGAAAGGAAATAATAGGAAAACATAGATAGAGATGGAAAGAGAGGGAGGTGTTTGGGTTTCTTTAGTAAGAACTCTCGTGGGAAAGAAGCCATAATACTGTACCTAACAATACCTTTAACAAGAACTCCTGCACCTCCCAAAAAGAAACGAGACTTACCCCAGGCCCCCCTTTTTAAAGCCCGCTCCCCCTCCTCCCTACTTAATTAGGTAAGGGAGAGGTAGCTAGTAGTAGCCAGGTAGCTACTAGTATGGACGCAGGATAGCTCGCGCGCTCCCACTGCTGCCCTAAAGGTGGCGGGGGAAGCTTCCTTGAAGAAGCGCTCGCGCCAATGAGGTGGTTCCTAGATTTTTAGGGAAACTTAACTAGTAGCAATATCTCCAGGCACTAGGAACAAGTGCATCGCTACTAGTAACAAGTGCCTTACTACTAGGAACAAGAAGCTAGTAGGAACAAGGGCCTTACTACTAGGAGCATTCTCGCTACTAGGAACATCCAGTTGAGGTTGGGCGAAGTGCTCCACGCCCTTGGCGCCCACGAGGAGGCGGAGCCGCTCTTGCGGCGAGCCATGGAAGGCTTCGAGGCGCGGCTCGGTGCAGATCCAAAGACCTTGGCCTCGGTGCGTCTGGGGAAGTCGTTGAAAGCTTCGCCCAACCTCAACTGGATGTTCCTAGTAGCGAGAATGCTCCTAGTAGTAAGGCACCTGTTACTACTAGCGTGGCACTTGTTACTAGTAGCTTCTTGTTCCTAGTAGTAAGGCACTTGTTACTAGTAGCGATGCACTTGTTCCTAGTAGCTTCTAGTCGTTGAAAGCTGGAAGATGCTGAGCGACTTTTTCGGAGAGCCATGGCAGCCAGAGAAGCTCAGCTTGGAGTTAGGCATCCAAAGACACTGGAAGCGGTGAACAGTTTGGCACTTGTGTTGAAGAAGGAGGAGAAGTTGAATGAAGCAGAAAGGCTTTGTCGAAAAGCACTGGTCGGTCGTGAGGCTGCACTTGGAGAAATGCATCCAGACACCCTGGTGTCAGCCAACAATCTTGCAGCACTTCTGATGCAACAGGGGGATGTGACATCTGCCGAGCAGCTCTATGCACGAGTAATGAAAGGCCGCGAGATTCAGCTTGGAGTGGAGCATCCAAGTACCTTGATCTCCGTCAATAACCTTGCCAGCCTTTATTACTTTCAGGGGAAGCTGGATGAGGCAGAGCCACTCCTGCGACGAGCCTTAACTGCTAAGGAGTTGCAGCTGGGTGGACGACATCCGCATACCCTCATTGCAGTCCACAACTTGGCATGTCTGTCGAGGGATCGAGGCAAGCTGGATGAAGCAGAGTCTCTTTTCAGAAAAGCCTTTGAAGGCCGAACCTGAGGGGAAACGGGGAGGGTGAGATCCTGACGTGAGAGGTTCACTCAACAACCAGAGACAGCGAACAGAGACTTACCTACCCAGGTGGACAGCCCCCCAAACCTTTTTAGCCTATATACTCTCTCTTGTTGCAAGGAAACTGGGGTGGTCCCTCAGCTTCCGATTATCGTAGGTGTTTCGTTTTTGGGTTTAACAAGAGGTTGGGCGTGGTTTCTGGACGTTATCACAGATGGCCTGAAAATGATTTGAGTGCTGTTCGGAGGCCTGGTTTAGGTGGAGCATTGGACGGATATTTGGATGCATCCCAATAGATTTTGTCCCGGAGAAACTTGGAGCATCTCTTGAAGGCATGGGATGGCATGGGCACAAAGTGGACAGCTGTGCATGGATCGAAGTACCCTTTGAGTTTCATTTGGTTCATTTGCTCGTGCCATTGCTTTTTTGACTGCAGTTGTGCAGTGTCCACTAGGATGTCTTTGCTCTCCTTGTGTCTCAGACTGCCGTCACTTCTGGCAGGTCGACAGGCCACTCTAGGCCAGATGCACCCCGCCACCGTGGACTCTCTTCTTGGCCTCGGGACACTCCTGGCGAAGAACTCCTCTGAGGCAAGGGCCCGAACACTCCTGACTCTCCTGAACAAACTACTCAGGTAATGATTTTGGGTAAATGCTGCGATGTGTTTTCCTCGTCTTGCACTGGGTTCCATCAGGCGCACCAGATACAAACGCGATAACATCCAGGTGTCTACTGCGTTTCAACTTCTGGATATACGGACGAACATGACACAAAAAGTAGAATGTGACAGGGGGTCTGCTCTCTTCACAGAGGGCATTGTTTTGGTCAACATCGAAACACCAACCAGGAAGTCACACAGCTTTCTTCGACTACTGCAGTTTGGTTTCAATGGACATGCGTAGTGCAAAACAGCTTTGGAGTTGAAGGACGCAGCGGATGCTTCCGCTGTTCCCACGCTGCATCCATGATGCCTGGCCTCAGGCGGAAGTTTGCCTGAGCGAATTGCAGGTCTTGGAGGCCTGTGCAGGAACTGATTTTACTCCAGAAAGATAGGAAGGCCTAGTTAGCCGGACCTAGCACTTTTGAAGAGCTGAATCTGGCAGCCAAGACCTATCCTTACCGAAGTCCACTGACCCACTCACTCATCACGCCTCCTTTTCAGGACGCGGCGGTCGACCTAGAGCCTCCGAGCGTGGCCTAAGGCCAAGCCCAAATGCGTTTGGGACCATGGGCAGTCGTGAAAAATAGGTGATGTCAACCTGCACAGAGGCGGAGTTCTTGTGCTCGCCGTTGACATCTTGGCGACCTCTACGTTCGGTCGTCGAAGACAACAACTTGGAATGTTGCTTGAGGAATGAGCTGTGAAAGATCAACTCTGTGAAACCGCTCCGGGTTTTAGGTGTGAAGACTCTTACCTAACCCTGTTAGCTTATGTCTTTCTTCCCAATCACTGAGTCTCCAACGCAAAAAAAGAACAGAAACTCCCAGCTTCCGGCTTCGCAGGCGGAGACCGCGGAGGTGGGGTGGGGTTCGCGGAACCAGTTGGCTTGTTGGGCCATGGAGGACTCAAGGTTTTGAATTGCAAAGGGTAGAAATCCGGAAGGGATCTGCCAAGCGATGTTCTTCCATCGAACCAAATTTGCTGAAGATGGAAGGGGACGGACTGAAGGCGGGGACGGCTGTGTGATGAATCCCGCTTGGAGAGCTCTGAGAATTTGATGCATTCAACCAGAGAAAGTCCGGGTGATGACATTTTCGCGATTAGAATCCACCACTATATAGGTTCATGTCGTCCACAGCAGCGGTTCTCACTTCACATGTTCGACCCGCTTCCGGAGCATCGAAATCAAGTTGCCATAGCAACTGAGCAGCTTTGACAAGTGTTCCAAGAAACGTTCGACTGCCCTACACACCCAAGTAGGGTGTCTGAGGAAGACCCGAGGGTTTCCAAAAACCTTCAGTATTGAAATTACGGGCTAGATATGGATTCAGTATGGATCAAAATGAAACTTGATTAAACTTGTAGGATTTGCCTAGGGTAGGTTGATGAGTGATTGAAAGGATTGTCTTGAAGTTGCAGAGGCAGAAACAGAAAAAAATTGTGTTCCAAAAACACATGCACAGCACAAGAGATTCGGATGGTTTTTTGTCCCAACGACCTGCAGCATGCCGTGAACACGAACACCTGGAACATGGAGTCACAAGATCCACCAGGTCCACCAGCTAAAGCGGTGAAGGTGAGGACTGCATGGTGGGGGAGGTGAAGCGTTTTACTGGAGCCCTTTTTTAGCCGGTGGCCCTGCCTTACTCAATCAAGTAGGCGCCTACTTAATTAAGGGAGAAGTTCGCTCCTAGCTACTGGACGCTACTACTTATGGACGCAGGATACCTCATGCTTCTGATTTGTTTTCTAGATTTTGAGGGAAACTTCAAAAGGGATACCCACTTCAACCATGAGGTGTATCACCAGGGGCTGCATCCGAAAAGGATAGTCTTCATCCCTTTGTGATCAGATCCCAAGTTTGTCATCCTGCCAACGGCGATCCTGTCGGCTTTCATGAGATATGTCGAACCATGGTTATTTCCAGGCAGAGACTGACCACCCGCGCGATTGTCCGATGTGGACTTGGCCCTCTCCGAAAACCCAAGTGTTGAGTTCATTGGATGGGTTTTCGTTTCAAGCTCCTGATAAAACAGTCCGAAACTCATCAGGATCCTTCAGGTCTATATTCTTTGCCCCATCCTTCCACCTTTTGGGCTGAAGGAGCTTAAGATTCGATCTCAAGACTTGACAGCCAACGCCAACGCACTTCATCTCGCTGAGCTGCCGACGGCTCTGCCTTGGACACCGCCGTCGGCGAGACCCACGTAGGACCAGCTCCAGAAGTGCCGAGGTGGTGCGCGAAACTCAGCGGGGTGAATTCGGTCAGTGTGATTTGTCCACGCACCAAACATGAGCAGCATGTTTGATGTGTTGTCCTTTCGCCGGGAGGAAAGCCGGTTAAATAAAAGAAAGTTCATGAAACTCCACACCACTCGATTGTTGATTGTTGATTACTAGATATATATATATATGTGGATTATAAGTCAACTCACACCGATCCGAACGAGATGCAGGGACCCAAGCCACGTGGACTCGTGCGGACTTGGCCAACTCCCGAGTGACTTGGGACTTGGGACCGAAGCGAACGCCTCCTCCCAGTAGCAACAGCACTCTTCGGCCAGGACCATTCGCACAAGTCTGAAGGCATCCACATGTGCCAGAACATACACCGTGTTACACCCACTCCCTGAAACCTCACCCAATCGTGGCGGCCATGGCGAGTGACGGCGTTGCGCACATTCCTCGATTTCGTCCAGTCGAGGATGAGCGTGACCTGTCCATGGAGCTCATGATCGACGCAGGGGTACCCGACGAAGCACATTGTTCGAAAGATGAAGATGAAGTCGATGCTGACGAGGCCAAAGCACCTCCACAGGAGCAGAACGAGGAATCAAAGGATTTGGAGCTGATCGTCACATTCCTTGAGCAGATGAAGCCCTCTACGCCAGAGCTGTTACGGCGGTTCCAGCTTGGATGGTCTTGTCTGGCTTGGGACAGGTCTTTTGGGCTGGGCACCACCGAAACTTGTTCACTTGAGCCAAGTCACCAAGTCATACGATGAGTTCTTGAGTCACAACTGGCAGGTAGCAGGCTGGAAGAAAGTCTTGCTTTTGATGACACTGAAGCGGGGCGCCCCCGCCTGTGTCATTGGAACCTCGGCCGCCTTGGTCATGTTGGTTCTCTTTCCATTTGGTGAAACTTCTCAGCTTGGTGTGCTTCTGTTGGACCAATCCTTGCACTTTCGAATTTCCTTCTTTGGAGATCCAGCCAGAAAGTCTTCGTGGACCGGGCTTGCATCAACCAATTTGACGAGAACATGAAGACCACTGGGATCTTGAACATTGGAGCAATGTTGAAGGCCTCCCGATCTATGCTGCTTGTGTGGGTTTGACTGCCCAGGAACCTAGTTCTGGGCCCAAAACTATTTTGCCTGCAGTCTCGCCACTGCCACCCTTGGCTGTTTAACCACGGTCTCGCCCGGCAGGTTACAGTCTACATCTACATCTACATCTACGCCCGGCAGGTTACAGACTTTGGTGTGTTTTCGAGCTCGCTGCATTTCTGAAGTCTCATCCAGACATGACATCATCGAATCTCTCACGCACACTCAAGGTGAAACCGGTGCTCGTTGGCTATGTCTTGTGGTCCGTCGCCGTCTGTATGTTCATCTTTGGCATTTTTCGAGTTCATCTACTTTTGGAGCAGCGCTTTCTGCAATGGTCCTTTCTGCTTCTGGCCGCAGGAGTCGAAGCGCTCTTCCTGGCGCATTGCTTTCGGCAACACTTCCGAACCTTGGACACGAGCGTGGAGCGTTTGCAGCACGGAGAAGCTCAAGAATGCACACTGTTGGTGTTGCAGTGTCAATCACATCGACCCACAAAGGGTCCTGTGTGATCGATTAATCGTTCGCAAGTGCGTGATTTGCTGGTTCGGAACAGAAGAACACTTCAACGAGTTGGTTCGGTCAAGTGTGGCCCTCCAGCAACTGGGCTCTGATGCCTTTCCGTATTTTGCGATGCTGGGTGCTACGACACCCATCTTGTCGGCCTTCATGGACTCGGTGGCCAGTCTTCTACGTGTTGACAATGAGGAGACAAGAGAGGTGGTGTTTTCGATCTTCATCATCAGATACCTGACCTATTGGCTTTGGGGTGTTCCTTGTACTTGAGAACAAAAGGCCGATGCCTGCTGACAGAGCTCTTGCGAAATCTTCTGGTCGTCATTCTGGGTGGGCCCATCGCAATGATTTTTGTGGCTTGGGAACTTTAGACCCTCGTGACCTTGGAGAATCAAACGGTTGGCTCCTTGATTTTCTCCACTGGTGCATTGGTGGGCTTCTTGATTGTACGGACAGCATACCACTTTGGCTGGAATCAATCAAGGACATTCACCTAGCCGGATCGTGAATATGACATCCAGCAACTCAACCGACATGGGGAACTTCTTGATCATCAGAGGTCCCTCGCAGAGTGCGACACCGGTTTCACCTTGCGCGAGCCACTCGCAGCAATGCCTAGTTGTCAACTGGACCAGTTTTCGCACCATATCTGGGCATGCAGTGATCAAATCGCGCTTCTTCCAGAAGCCCAGAAGCTATGTTCGTTCTTCTTTCTGCTGTGCTTAGTTTGAATTTTGTGTCGCAAAATGTCGCACATCTCCCAACAGAAGATTCAACCAGGAGTGCTATCTCCAGGAGGAATTCCCATTGGAAAAGAATTGCAAGAGGCTTTTGTACTTGGTCGGACATGAGATCGTAGTGGAGAGACATGCACCAAGCTCAGTTCCCCCTCAAGTCCTCCTAGGTGAAATGCATCCAACGCCCGGGCCGGTGGGCTCAGGGTGGGCGGGGTGGTTGGAAGAGCGAGACGGCTCTGTTTCAGAGGTCCTTGGCGCTTCAACAACTTGGTGTGTTTTGTTTTTTAGGGTGATGCGTTCCCGGTCTCGCCCACGCAAATCCACGAGCAGTATGCCAGATTGAATTGCAAGCAGCAAAGAGTCGATTTTTCACCTTGCAGATGTCAAGCCTGCGAGCGAGAAAGAAGGGGGAGAGAGGAAGGAACCCAGTAGTGACGAACACATCATACGGAAGTGGAAAACCCCCTATTCCTATTCGTGAAGGAAAGTAGTCTTCCAAGTGAGTGTAAATGTGAGTCAGAGTGTAAATTCAGACTGTACAGTAGGTCAGAATACAGTCCGTTGCTATTCTTCTAGCTGCTTCTATTTCTGCCAGCATTAGTTGCCACTGGCCACATGCAACAGTGGCATGTTGACGTTGACAGCCGACCGAAGGCTCCATCTATTTCGAAAGATGATCGATGCCCTTGTTCCTCGTAGCTTCTTGTTCCTAGTAGTATGGCCAGGAGCTACTAGTAGCGTCCTTGCTCCTAGTAGTAAGGCCAGGAGGTGCTAGTAGCTTCTTGTTACTACTACCTTCTCAGGTGATTTGAAGCCCTAAACAGTCACGGTAAGGTGCAGTTCAAAAGTAGTTAACTCAAATGAGGCAAGAGTCTCCTGGTCCACCTGTTTGTGGCCAGTCGGTTCAGGCCAGACGATCGCCAGTCAAGAGCCTTTGAGCACGAGACCAGAAGACCAGAGGT